AGTTGGTAAGACAAAGCAAAGAAAAATAATCTTTATATTTTTTTACCACTTATGCCTAGACTAATTAATATTACTATTCAGTTTAATTAAAGCATATCTAGTTCGTCTGGGGGACTCTATCGGTTAACGTGTTCGAACGCGTTAGTTTTCCAAATTTTTGCGACAAACGTGTTCGTTATTTACTTCTGAGTTTTCTGATTTTATATCTAACCAGTGAGATCGGAATTTTTTCTTATTCAGAAGCGTTAGAACTGGTTAGATACAAAATCTTGCTATAAAGTGGCTTTGATGCGTTATTCACTCGAGGGCCTGTTAAGTTATTTCGTATGATTAAAGGTTTGATGAACCATCTAGTCTCTCTAATCCATTACTGTATTCCTTGTTTTATATTTCGATATCCAACATTTATTGAATGTACGTAGAAAAAGGGCATGAATACACATAATGCTGTCGTACTTTTGTTCTACTTATGCAATAAATTCTGTTGCTTATGAAAACATAACGCATGTATTAAAGCGTATTGAACTTATTAGATCCAAAAAATTGTTCTAAACGCTCTCGAACTCATGTATATACCAGAAATTGATAGAATACGCGTTTGTTTTTTTTTGCGTCCATTTTGCGTCAAAATTTTGTTTTTAGCACGTCAGAGCTCGTTATTTCATAAATTTTCCTTCGAACGCAGTGGAACTTTCGTTTGGATGACAAAATTATATCTCATCGGTCTGCATTCAACAAACTCATCGGCTAATAGCTGTCTGTTTATGTGAAAATTTTGCAGGGATAGAGAAAGAGCAGTACAACACATGCAATATTGAACAAAGAGACTTACTTGACTAACTGACGAAAAAAATGTACTTGAAATATCTGAACATGAAGCTGGATGGAAATTGTGGTTGTTATTGAAATGGTGTATTTGTCACTCAATAGTAACTAACTTAAGTAAGCTATACGAAGACGTTTTACTTGTTGTTTATTTTTAATATGATATATTACGTTAATACTTTAAAAACAATTGAATTAAATCTTTAGTAGAACCTTTATCCAAACATGTAATATCTATGCAACGATTAATCTGTAGTTCTACATAGTGCACATTTTTAACTAGCAAAAAAATACTAGATATTTATCGTTTTTAGTAAATATACCTCATTGCTGTGTAAATACGACATTTTAGTCTAGCTATACCAGTGACTCCAGTCTCATTTGGTTAACAGCATGGCTTGATGATTTTGTTGTTCATCACGTACTTCAAAAGTACTGTGTTCGCATCTTGATGCCGGCAAGTCATGTAATAATCTTGGACAACTTGTTCATGTCGTGGTACCTCGGATCATCCGTCTGACAGCATCGTTGTGACGTACAATAAATTCCTCCAACTAGTCCTCGCGGTATGAAAACTAGACAGAGTGCCCAAATACGTGGTATCCATTGTAAATAACTTGTATTTTCATCATCATTTTTGAACATTGGTAAATTAGCTAACACTATTTGATACAAAGTTATCGATTACTTAACATATCGATACGCTGAATAAAATCATAATCATTATTCAATGCTTTATTAATATTGAACAAAGACACGTTATTTTTCGTTAACCAAAAGAGTATAAAAGAGGTAAAATTATTATTTCTATTGTACCACTGATGGAGTTTATCAAATCGAACATTAGTTTTATCTGACTTATTGCTAGTTGTACTTGAATCAAAATAAAATAATATCGAATTAAAATCATCACTGTTATTAAAGAAAATATCATTTGACGATATAACAGTACAATTAATAATGTCTTTGTCTATATTCTTATTTTTTAGAACAAAAAATGAATCGTGATAAATATACTAAACTAAGACGATCTTCCACATTTCGAAATATTTCTCTTAATTTATGTCAATATCAACACGTATTTGTAGACCAGCTGTTAATGTACCAAAGAAAAATAAATATGGAAATCTAAATGAGAAAATAAGAAAAAATGAATTAAATTTTTTCTACAATTAACTACCTTATACTCAATTTTTTCTGTAACATAAGCTAATACATGAAACAGATGAATGTAATTATTAAACTTAAATATTCACTTACAAAATAGCTGCTTTCCAAGCAAGTGAAAACAGTAAAGTAAAGCATCTTGTCATTGTTGCTTGAATTGTTGGATAAACATTAATATGATACATTGAAACCGTCCTGAGCATGGTTATAAAATCTAAAAATAAAAACATCGAGCAAAATTTGCTTTTATTTATTACTTAGATATAGCCAAGAATGTTAAAAAGAATATATATGTGTGTGTTCTTTGACGCGTATCCATTCTTTTTATATAGAGAAGAAAAAAATTTGAAGATAAATCTAGAGGAAAGTGTATTTTGATTACCAAAAATTACACTTTTGATCACCAAATTTATTTCTATCGAAATGATCACCAAATCAATTAAAGAAAATATATATAAGAAGAATATATAACAGTTAATTAGCAATGATTACCAATTAATGAGTAGACAGACAAGAAAAATAATATAAAGAAAAGAAATGTAAGCAGAACAGAAGTTAAATTTCAACAGTTGAAGTTTTTTGAAATTTTGTGCAGTCTAATCTTATGAAGAAGCAAAAGAATTATCCAAATCGCAATACAACGTATGCCAATGTCGTCGATCAGATTTAAAGAATCATACGAAGTATTCGTTCAAATGCGGTGAGTACAGAAAATATCCATTATGTTTTTTTGAAATTCAGATAGTCGTACCAGATAACGATGTACAAACAGTGACAATTATGTCAAGAGGTGTACATGAATATAAAGAAGAGGAACGTAATACAACCACACGCTTACTGTCACCAGTTCGTAAATCGGTATCGAAATACATTAAATGTAGCTTATCCCATACTCAAATTAAATCATCATTAGTGCAAGATCATCCAAGTATATCGCTTGAAGCAGAGTTGCATGCTTATAAATGGTCAGTAAGTATAAACCGCTCTGATATTTTGCATTGGTTTACTTTGTTTTATATTGTTCCATCATCAAATGCAAGAATAACGCCATCAGTTTGGCTGGATATGTATTGGTCTGGTCAATGGACATCGTTCGATGGTTTTGTTGAATGGCAGACATCATATTGGTTGGTTTCACCGCTTACATCGTGTTCATGTCCCGTTGGTCTCAAACAATATACATGCAAATACTCCGTTGGATTAGCCATTCTGTTTAACATGTATCAAGTTAGTGACAAAACTCGTTGTGAACCATTAGGTAAGCGAAAAGGTAAAGGTGCGAAATAGCCTCTACCAATATCAAGACTAAATACGGGTTGGTGAGATCAAAGTGTGCGCGTCGCCCCATATTCATTTTATTAAGAAAACAAATACAGTTTAGTTCAAATCAGTGGGAAGGCGGGAGTAAAAATAGAATTTTTTATATCGATCTGTTTATATCAGTAACTATAAGAAAGTCACTGACAATAGGAAGGATGAGTAGAGGACATAAAAAAGAAAGTTAGTGCGACAAGCGCTAAAGAACATTCTTTCATACAGCAAATACAAGTTTACATTGTATGAGAAATAAATGAATCCCAAACACCCACAAAAGCATCGGAAGGTCTTGTGTGCCTGAGCAAACAAACAAAATGGCAGCTCTACGCAAGTAAAAGTCAGTAAGCCTTGTGCAAAGTACTAGAACTATAGCCAGTAGATAAACACATTCCAAGAGGTAGAGAATGCTAAACATATTTTGTTAGTATCTGTTTAAACCCCTTAGAATTCTCATCCTTTGTCCTCGACATCAAAGGATTATTAAAGAAGTTGTTGTCCTAAACTGTGGTCATTCAGTCTGTTTCATATTAATAGATTATTCTAGATAGCATCGTTAAAAATATAAAATTTAACGATGAAAAATGAAAACATGTTAAAATAGTTGTAACACATGTTAAACCAGAAGATAATATTGATTTTATACCGACAGAAGTTCAAAAGTTGAATCAATTAAAATTAAAATCTCATTCCAGAGCAAGATATACCATTTCAGTTGTGAATACGATGATTGAAAGTTTTATATTCTTCTATTTTGTTCTTTGTGTTTATATAAATGTCTATTTATTACAATAATTAAATTATATCAGAAGAAGAAAAGGAAAATGTTTTATGTCTGCTGATATTTTTAGCAGTTGCACACTTAAAATAAAAAAGAACCTTTTCTTTTTTTTAATGTAGTGATAGTCTTACATTTCCTCATTGAGAACGCCGTTCCTTGCAATCAGAAGAAAAGATGAGACAATTTGCTGAGCAGTTTCGGTACGATTTTTCCAAAATTTTACTAATCAATTAATGAGAAACATAGACTACGTATTAAGTACCATGAAAAAATACAACTGATGAGGTAAATAGGTCAGCATAATAGACATTCATATAAAGTTACCGATTGTAGCTGTTCGTCTGGGTTTTCTCTCGAACCTGTTTCTCATTATTTTCTTAATTGTCCTTTATTTACTGATGGAAGATCTATTATTATATATCTCCGTAATGGTTTCAAAACTCAATAGCATTTTGTTGATTCATATATCTTTTAAAGATAGAATCTTTTGTCTTATGATTAGAGGAGAAAAATTGAGATTGTATAATTGTGTTTTGGACTTCATAAAACGTCGAAACGCTTTCATTTATGATATGGTTGTACTTAATTGATATCTTCATCATACTGCAGTAGACACACTGACAAGCAGCACTGACAAGCAGAAATTTGACATTAAATATTTTTATAAAAAAGTATAGCGTTTAAACCTTATGAGTCCCTTACCCTTGATTAATTCGCTCTTTTTTCTGTAACATATTAAAAATTATTGCTTTTCCTTCTCTTTTCTTTGTTTTACAACAACACATATTCTCTTGTTTGATCAACTTGTCACAACGTGTAATGAACATAACTCGGTTGGCTGTATCAATAAAACTATTTTAGACTAATAAACACTCTACAATAACAGTCTATAGAAATAGTCTAACACTCTAATCATCATGTTTTGTCTTTTATCGGACTTTCATGTTCTTCTCCTATTTCCTTTCTCAAACGGCAGATTATACGACGATACCGCTGAGTATGTAATATTGTTCGTGGAATGCGGTTGATGACTCATTTCTGCCATTCACCTTATTTTTGTCTCCTTGTTCTAAAAATTCACAAGCATTGCGAAAGATAAATGATAATTAAAGAAAGAGGTGAGGCTGTTGAAAGTAAATCGATGGGGTGTACAAGATTGCAACTGAAAGAGACCGCCCGCGTACATTTTTGCAAATCTTATCCTGAAACTAAAAGAAATATATTTAATATTTGAAAAACATTTCAAACTGTGCTAAATATTTGTTCTTTCGCAATATGTTCTGAAAAAAATGTACGACAGGAGGTACTTGTACCGGATCGGTGCGCACTAGTACAGAATTATATGTTTTGTTTGGCACGAGTGCATACTAATGCCAAACTAGAAAATTTTTCTGCACTAGTGCATATTGGTATGGTACAAGTATCGAAAATATAGTAAAGAAATTTTCAAGTTCCCCACTGGGGTTTATCAGTGTCAGAAAAAGCTGTTATTCTAGCACCGGTGCCAAATTTCGTTTGTAATCCCAAGCGTCAAAAAAAAATATAGTATCGCTCGATTCATCTAGATTAGTAGATTTTTACTCGACTGCAACTATTGGGTAACGAGAGTGGAAATCGAGTAATCGGACGATTGCTAGATTTCTTCTAATTGCAACGATTTATCGTCCGATAATCGATCGATTTAACTATTGCTAGTTGCACATGCAGATACACCTAGTTAAAAGTTCCTTTTCCAACTAGTAATCTAGATGGCAACTAGTCATGTATCGCCCGATTCCAGACGAAATGTACCTAGATTTTTCCCATAGGTGATGTTTGCTTGGGATTACCGTTTTGTTTTGTCAATGATCGTGTATATAAACACTGCAGTATACTTATAGTATTTCGAATGTCTTTTTGACTTCATCTTTCCTTCGCAAAGAGAAGTGTCGAGGAAGTGGCATATGATTATGGCATGACAATGTGGAACTGATATCTATGCCAGTACCGCACTTTAATTAATACAAAATTAAGTAAAAGCAAATGTAATAAGAAATAATTACTGATCAAATAAATTTGTGTCTCGCTAAGATTTTTTTGTAGATGCAGCAGCATTGAATTCTATTAATGCAGCATCGGCATGCGACATTGAATAATATCGGTACAGCATCATTTATGAAGTAAAAAATGGGAATTGTCCGGCAACGATGCCCATCTGGCATTGTTTGGCATCGTTCCAAGCACCGGTGCGCACTGATCTTTGACGATGTCTGGCATGCGCACCGATGCCAATCTTTTATTTTGCGATGCCGTATCGAACTTTTGTTGGGCTGAAATCTATTCAAAATACAAGCTAGTTTAACATAGTTCACTGTTTCAATTTTGAACAAAAATATTACTTCTGTGCTATGCTGTCCTATAAAACTTTTTGTTTCGTGCTGAATAGGATGCAAGTCTGTTGCATCGTACTCCACAATAAATAATTTTTAACGAAGAACAAATCTTTGAGGTGTAGAAAATGAAACAGATATAAGAAGAAATCAAGTATATTTCACGCTCATCGACTTAGACGTTCATGATGGCTAAGCACTATCGATCTATTAATCATATCTATTTTTAAATAGTTACTCTAACATTAAAATCAATCGTAGAAATACAATACAAAAATTGTACTTAGGAAATGCCTTCTAAACAACATCTGTTCAAGCTCAATAAATAAATTTCAAAAATGATCATGGAAAAGTAGTTAGATAGAATCAAATATTGGCTTTTATTGGATTGATTACTAAGTTCTGTATTTCTGAGATAGAATTCCTTCACGTACTATTGACACTGTACGCTGGGTAGCTTGCTGAATGGGGGCAGGCGGTGGTTTCTTGTACGTGAGATTGACATCTGATTTTGTTTCGTTTCCTGCTTCACAACATAATAAATTTTGACGATAATGATGTATAACAAATATAAGAATAATTGCTGTTAAGATAAAGCATGTGATTCCTAGAGTGATACTCCATACTTTCCACATTCTTGCGTTATTTTGTTGATTATGAAATGCTTCAATATCAACAGGATAGTATGTTTTGTTATGTATGACTACTGTCTGATACGCAACGATACGTTGAACAGCTGAAACCGTAGTTCTGTCATAGAATACATCATCCGGTGACACATAGTTATCGGTTAAAACTAAACATAATTTGAATATTAAATACACCAAAAGAAAACAGATACTTTTGGTCATTCTTCTTCAAGTCATCAACTTATTGAGTTATGTAGTATTGTCAAATGAACAAGATTAACGAACAGAAAATCATTAGTCGGCTTAATTTATTTATTTTAGTAATACACATAAACAGAAATATGCTGAGTAACAGCGCGAGAATAGGAAAAGCGGTTTCTGTTTAACCGCTTCAGCTATACTCCTGGTTTTATACTCATTGTCAAATTCACTGCATGATTTGTCTCATCAAAACGTGAAGCCAATAATATGCGTTTTAATCATTTTTATCTCGAAACGTGTAGAAACAAAACTTCTTAATTTTACGTTTCAAAGCCTATATGAAAAAACACGTTTTCTCACGAATTTCATGTTTAAAAAAATACAACTAAACAACTGATTGAGAATAGTTTTTACTACATTTTCTACTATACCACCAGACTTACTATAAGTACAATTGATTTCACTACTTATTTAAGTCTATCATGACTCCAGGAGAAAATTTAAATTAATTTTAAGTGAAAGTGGTCGAAAAATGGTATGTGATATATTCTTAAAATATGCATAAATTCTGCTTTTCTCATTCTTTTACAACCTTTTTTCATATTTAAAAGTCCGTTTAGACGCGTTTTCTTAAAAATTTTAGAAAAAACAGAAAGAAACGTCATCTTTTTCTTTCGCAATTCTTTGTCTTCATGCACAAAACACAGCTCAATTAATTAATCAACCATTTGATTGAATGATTTTAGACGCATTTGGCAGTGGTCGAAGCGAGAAACGATTTGAGAAAGGAGGAAAACGATTTTTATCACTTAAAATGTCGATGGTCAGTCGTTGATCCATTGAAAGTATTCGTTTTCTTCTGTTTCGATTAGAACCTCATCGACGAGCAGGATCACGTAATCTCAATGAAATACACGATCAGTTGGCATTCATATAAATGATCCTTGATAGAATGCTTGTCATCAGGAAATCTTTTCATGATTCGATGTAACTTACATCGTGTGGATTCATCGACAAGAACAACGACAGTGTCCGATCTATGAAGCTCTTCGCAATCCAGGATGAACATCTTGTTCTGTCTTTACATCGATTGAATAAAAGTGATGGTTTCCACTATCTGTTTTTAAGATTGAAAACTATGCTGAAGGCGATATGAAGAACATGAAAGTTTCGTGTCACGTAAGATCTGTTTGCTAATTAAACATTGGTAAGGATGGTAAAACGGAATATCGACAGCTAGAATTTCGCCATCGGAATTTCGGCATCGTCGTTTTTGCTCAATATTCTCGACAAATTGTCGAAAGTCAATCTGATTTTCGACATTGTCGAATTTCAGGTTGTTTTTCGACTATTGCCTTAAGTCCTTGTAATTTCGACAATTGTCCGGAATACATTTTTGTGGTGGTACATTTTTAAATTTTATTTATACATTATAACTGCGTTGTTCGGTTCTGTCACGTTTGGATATTTAGAGTTCTCGCTACAACTTGATTGTTGTAAGAGTTATCCGCTGACTACTAGTTTACTGAGGTCCTGTCGTTATAATGCACCGCCACGATACCGCTGTTTCCTCGAATTTGAGCGGAAACTGGTACCGCTTACAATCACAGATTATATGAACAGTAGACACAACTATTCACTCTCATTCTGTTATGTCTGTGTTATTCTGTTTTGAACTGGATAGTAGCATACAGTCTCTTCGCTAATAATAAATAATTTAATGCCAAAAGCGTACGGTAGAGAAACGAGAAAAAAGAATTCTTTTATGCTTCGTCGTCGCTTTTCTGCAAGCTCAATCATTTTATGTTGGCATTAAAAAATAATGAGATTTTACATAGAATAATAAAAGAACATTATTCCATCAATACGAGCACGATCATAAATCGAATTTGTGAGTGTTTCATGTAATTGCTGAAGAGGTACTCAAATATCGTATAAGACTATAGTTGAACAAATTTTCATAAACTATGTAAACAATAATACTAATTTCATAGACTATAATCTCTTCTTTTGAAAGTGTTCCACGTTTATATCGACTTTATACCAACAGTTCGAAAGTAACAGGATTAGCACAACTCGAGCTCCTGATGACGAATACCACGTTTAAAATATTTTAAAACAACGGCATCGTGGCCTTCCTGACCTGTGGAGATCCCATTTCCCAGTAGAACAGACGTTTTCTGGGCATTTTCATCGTTTTTAAGCGAAACACTTTCATGAGCTGGTACCGTCAGACGTGGTATTTCAGGACGTGGGGTGACATATCTTTCGCATGTACTCGACGTGGGCTATTAGAAAAACACATTTCTGCCTTTGTCCAAGCACATTCAGAAAAAGTGTTTTTCCAGAAAAAAAACCACAGGATTTTCGTCTGTTTCAAAAGTGCTTGGACAAAGGCAGAAATGTGTTTTTCTAATAGTCCACGTCGCGTACATGCGAAATATATGTCACCCCACATCCTGCAATCCCGTGAAATGGTGCAGCACGAACTCAAACTTTGAGAACGAGAAAAATCCCCTTTAAAAATTGTTTTTTTCTACCATTAGATAGTTTTTAATCGCAATGAGAACCACTTCATGAGATAGAGCTTGAAAAAATGCGTCGAATGCGTATCTTGTTGTTGTGTGTTGACACGACTTTTTGGGGAAAATATAGTTTACAAAAAAGGCCTACTTTTCGGAAAAAACGATCTTTTTAAAAATCCTCCTGAGAACTTGCTTATCATTTTTGGAATCTTCTGTCCGTTAGAAATTTTGCAGCTCTTCACATATAGATTCTAATCTGACGGTACCAGCTCGAGTTGTGCTAGTCCTGTTATCCTCGAACTGTTGGTATAAAGTCGATGTAAACATGATACACTTTCAAAAGAATCACCCCTTTACATCAAAGCGGGCTCGTACCGTTACGTACTTAAGCGACATCTTTCGACGGAAAAGTCTTTGAAAATATAGCGCAAATAAAGCAAAAAACTTAAATAAATTGATGAGGAACGTACTTAGTATAAAGCTTTACATCTATTAACCTTGAATTAAATATGCTAGTTAGTAATGGTTGAAATGCGTAAACGTTGGATTCGAGAACCAAGGCGTTGGAGTGTGTATGGTAATAGAGGACTTATATATTGCTGCGGAATTTAACCTTTAATCCTGTGATCTTCACTTGGAAATGGTACCAAAGAATTTTGCGTGTATACATGGTCATTAATCGTTTGTTTTGACAAGTGCCTGAGTAACAAAATCAATGTACATTCACTTTTATTCATCGATTTCTTCCTTTTCAGAGAGATAAGACTTTTGTTTCTATTCTTCGTTTATCAAAATGGTTAAGTGTAACAGAAAATCTGAAATCTATGAAACAGACGGTTTTGTGCAAAACGATATGTTTGCACAATGACAACACTATGAACGATATATAGTTATTGATCGATAATTTTTATCTTTTTATCTAAAGCATAAAAAGGTTCATCACATATTCGATGATCGGTCTGAGTGCTAAAATTCTCTTCAAGCAGCATGCTTTACAATTTAAAGTTATAAGTATAAAAAATAAGTATGGTCCAAAATTAATTTCAAATATTAAGAAAAGTAATTGATTAAATTTCTGATGAAATATTGATTTTATGCTCTTATTTTTGTTCCAATTTATGCAAAATATTAACAAATCTGGATATGTTTCCGACATTAACACATTAGTTACTTTGCTTGCATTTGTTTTATTATATAATTTTATCACTTGTGTAGAGTTTTCGAACAATCGGTATTATTCAACTTCTTTTTTCGAAGTTATGTACTAAACTTTTTTGACAAATACTTCTTTTACTGTAAGAAGCTGGTCTATGTATGATAGTCAATGAGAACGTAAGGAAGGCAACGTAGATAATCAAGTAAGACAGCATACGTTGCAACGATATAGATAAATGTGTTGCCTAGGTAATTGTGGAATACACTGTAAGAACTAGGACTATCTGTCGAGTTCCGAATCAATGAATATCCTTTCTTTAAACAATTGGAAGTGTCATGCTGACTATTTTAAGTCTTCTAGATTGAATTGTATTCTACAAGAAATAATTACAATGGGTAGAAAGAAGAAGAAGCAGACGAAACCGTGGTGTTGGTATTGTAATCGTGAGTTTGATGATGAAAAAATTCTTTTACAACATCAAAAAGCAAAACATTTCAAATGCCACATTTGTCATAAAAAATTGTACACTGGCCCAGGTCTACAAATTCATTGTATGCAAGTAAGTTTTTCTGCCTGCTTACGTGCACTCTTAAGATAGCCTCCAATTGTCTGTATATTTTAGGTACATAAAGAAAATATTGACAAAGTACCAAATGCAATCAAAGGACGAGACAATATTGAGATAGAAATATATGGAATGGAAGGAATTCCAGAAGAAGATATTAGAGAACATGATAAACAACGAGTTGGAAAAGGTGTAACAACAGATTTATGATCTTACGGCACTAACCATAATTTGTTTATCTTTAGACAAAGACGAAACAAATGGTGGTAATCTAAAAATGAATCCAGTTGCCATGATGCCCACGCTAAATCATGCTCAAATGAATATGATGCAAGCGCCAATGATGCCATTATTTCAAGGAATGCCCTTTGGACTTGGACCAATGCCACCTTCACTAATGACACAAATGATGTCCGTACCTATGGTGGCTCATATGAGACCACCAATGATGCCACAGCAAGCAATGCAACCGGCTACCATTGTTTCAACAGCAGCAGTAACAACACCAACATTATCATCAATTGTCAATCACACTGGATCTCCCACTATAATAGCAGCTGCGAAACCCTTGTTTCCATCGGGAGTGAATGTCGATGTACGACAGTTAACTTTAATTTCTGAAATCAAGTTAAGTATTTTGATTTTTTCAGTCTTCGTCAAGTGAAGCAACCAAATCTCAATCGCCAACATCGACTTTAACATCGAATCATCAATCGAAAGCATCCCCAAATACCAGTATTACATCAAATATGCCATCAGCATTTCCAGTCTATACTCCGTCATCGTTGTCCGGAACTACAGCGACCAAAACGAAAATTGATTCAGGTGGTGGAAATACTAAGATAATCCATCCGGATGAAGATATATCATTGGTAATACTATCTGAACAACATTCATATCATCTTTTTATACTTCTTGTCGATTTTAGGAAGAGTATCGGGCAAGTTTACCGAAATATAAACCAACGTTATTTACTGGTCATCAGATGCCAGCAATGTCAATGGGTGCACCTCCAATGTTAAATTTTACATGTCGTATGTTTTTTTTCACGTCTCCTATTTACAATCATAACATCGACACTGTATTTTTATTTTAGCGCCTTTGCCTGGCTTATCCTTTTTAACTAGTAACTCGCCGGTGTCATTTCAGAGTGGACCACAACAAATTGCAATGACAATTAATCCTAATGGACGATTCTAACATATAGAATATATTCTTATTCAATGTATGTTATTCTCTTTTTTTCAAGTGATTATTCTTTGAAATGCACTGTATGTTGAGTGTGTGCATGTGTGTGCTGCTGAAACGAAGGATTTATTATATCAAACAAAGAATAAGCGCAAAATCTTAGCTTTTTTTTGTTTATTTCCTTCTTGTTGAGTGTTTTCTCCTGCCTTGTTTTGTTTTTTCTCTTAATTTACTATTTTCATATGCACACAGTTTTTTGTGTGCTTCGATTTTGTCTCGTCTTTCTCGTATGAAATGAAAAAGAATATCTTTCGTTGCGCAAAATGATTTACTCCGTTTCGATGACTACGTATGAACGGATGTGTGTATGTGTATGAATGTGTGTGAATTTATTTTTCAAAAACTATAAGGTATGATTAACAAATAAATATATATAATTTATATTTTGACTTTTCTAATTTCTAGGCTGCTGTGACGTACGTGCACTTGACATTTGACAAAAGGTCAGTCATGAAGTCACAGCAGAATGTACATTGTTTGTGATATACAGATTCACATTCTGTTGTTGGGCAAGAGAGTGCCCCCAACACATTTTTTGTGTTGGCGACAAAAAAACATTCGCTCTGTCTGTTTTCTCTATGTTTTTGCTCTCATTGACTTAGTTATTGTATTAATCAAGAAAATTTACAGGTGTATTTAAGCTTTTATAGGTCTCTTTTGGCTTCAAAAACACGTATTCCAAATTAAGCAAGGTATTCATGTGTTTATTTCTTTGTTGAAAAATTGTGGTGATGTTCGTTCTTTGAGAAACTTATGTAACTGAAGTATCCACTAAAGATTAGTCTTGTCACTTAGCTTTTGGAGTTGAACGTATGCTAAGAAAGAAATTCGCAACATATTTGATTTTTGTGTGGCTATAAACTAAAAGTTATAGGTTTTTTATTCCAGAACATAGCTAAAGTAGTCGTATATTAACAATTGTTTTGAGTATTTGAAAAACATTTCTGACGATTTTCAGTAGTTGATCTATTATCTATTAAAAGAAATACATGAACATCAAAATATAAAACTGTCTGCACTGTTGTTGTCTTTTAAGTCGTCTTCTTCAGATGGCAGTAATGTTTGGAAAATAATTTATGGCTCTTGTAGTATTCATATAGTTTTTGATCAAAACAACGGCCAGAAGTGTGAAACGTTTTATTATAATAGAAATGTTTGCTTTAAAAACTGATATCTTTAAAATTCCTCCTTGAGTAAGTTTTTCGAAACAATAAAACAATTTTCAAGAGGATGGATGTCTGACGCTCTTCGAGAAAACTTTTGAGAAGAATCAAAAATTTTTGACCGCGTCAAAAGTAAGATGAATTCTGATAGTAGATGCTCTGAGTTATCCAACCATTGATAACAATATTAACTATCCATCGAAAATCCGCATTTCTGACAGAGGTAGCCTTATTCGCGTTTTTTATCAATGAATAATGTAGAAAATCTGCTAAAGTTCAAAAAAAACTTGACATGTGCTACTCCCACATGGTATGTGCTCTGACGGCACGAAACAATAGGAGTGTATTCACTCAAGAGATACTGCACTTAAAAAGTGGGACTCATTCACATGGAGTTTTTCCTAGCTTATATTCTAGCTGATGTAAAGAGATTTCAAAATATATATTCAGAGTTTTTCGGTCCGAAACCGTTACCGAGATATCAGTGTTTTTCAAAAAGCCGTTTGCTATGACAACATACTTTAAAATTTAAAAGTTGTTGTAGTATTCTTGTAATATAAAGATTTCTGACACAATTTCGGTTCTTCAGTTTATCGTTAGGCAAAAAAAATGCTGTAATGATCTACACACTGAAAATACCTCTCTTATCTAGTTTACTTGTGTAAGACCGACTTTTTGAAAAACATTGATATCTAAGTAACGGTTTGGAACAGAGAACTCCGAATATATATTCTGAAAGCTCTTGACAGTAGCTCTAATATGAACTAGGAAAAATTCCGCAAAAATGAGTTTCACTGTTTTATTCCATGTGCATTGACGGTTATCCGATTTTTATTGCATGTCCAACCAAAGTGAAAAAGAAAAGACGAGGAAATATATTTGTTGTCTCAAGTTGCAAATTTAAAATGTTCACTTTTGAAACAAGTCGTGTTTGATATCCGATCGTTTATTATTATTAAAGTGGCATACTATATAAAGTTAACTGAACGGATTGTTGTTGTGTCATCTTCAAAATTCTTTCTATCTGTAGTCCTATCCCTGTATTTATTCCAATTGCGAGTCATGGTGTGTCAAATTTCATCAGTTCCATATGTAAAATGAAGAGTTTTTTCCAAAATGTAAACAATTTTCTGATTAAAAGAATTTATATACAATTAATCTAAGAGAAACATTGCAACGAAGGAAATATTCGGAGAACAAGAAGAGTAAATAATTTATAATTAAAATAGAATGTCCCCATTGTTCCATGTGCAAAAAGAGGCATCGTAACTGAATAAGCCTTATATTACGTAAAATAACATAGTATACGTTGTATGTTAATGTCAGCGATATTTTATTTTTTAAATTAAAAACTAGAACTCATTCATGGAGTTTTTCCTAGCTTATATTATAGCTCATGCCAAGAGCTTTAAAATTATATATTCAGAGTTTTTCGGCCCAAAACTGCCTGTTCAGGATGGAATTCTAGCATCGCCAAAGTATATTCCAAATCTGACTTGATTCTAATGTTATTTACAACATATATTCTGAATGGTTCGTTGCTTAATTTTTCAATGATTGCAGAGAAGTCTGAAAATTTTAATAGTAGGTGTTGTTGTTCATGCATTTATAGTTCTTTAGATATTACAAATTTCATTCTGATAACAATGTCTTTAAGTATAGCATCTCCTAATGCCACTCGTATCGGTTTTATTGGAATTGGTGTAATGGGTGCAAGTATGGCCTCGCATTTAATCAAAGCTGGCTACAAATTATCTGTATTTACTCGAACACCATCAAAAGCTGATCAGTTAGTGTCAATTGGTGCTACGGTACTAAAATCGCCACGTGAAGTAGCTGCTCAATCGGATGTTGTAATAAGTATTGTTGGTTACCCGTCTGATGTAGAAAAGGTTTTACTGGACGAAAATGACGGTGTAATTAAAGGTTTTTCGGAGAACAAGTCTTCATCTAAAGTGACTATTGATATGACAACGTCAAAACCATCACTAGCAGTACGAATATACAATGAATTTAAAAAAGTTGGATGCCATGCTCTAGATGCTCCAGTTTCAGGTAATTACACCTATGAATTATACCTATAGTAGTACTATCTAGCAAAAATTTGGTTTTATAACACTCCTACCTTTACGTTACCTATGTTAGTCTAATATTTTTTTCCAGGCGGTGATATTGGTGCAAAAAATGCTGCGTTATCCATCATGGCTGGAGGTGATCAAGATGTGTTTGATGCTTGTCTTCCAATATTCAAAGTAATGGGTAAAACCATACGATTGATGGGAGGTGCTGGATTCGGTCAACACACAAAAATGGCTAATCAGATTGCAATATCATCTGGAATGATAGCCATGGTTGAATCATTGTTATATGCCCAAAAAGCTGGTCTTGATTGCGAAGCTGTTATTCAAGTATTGAGTTCTGGTGCTGCACAAACATTTTCGATGAGTAACTATGGTCCAAGAATATTGAAACGAAATTTTGATCCAGGCTTCTATGTTGAACACTTTATCAAAGATTTGAGTATTGCTCTTGAAGAATCGAGTCGAATGGGTTTGATACTGCCCGGTGTAATTCAAACGAAAATGTTATACGATATTCTAGCTGCTGATGGAAAAGCGAAGTTAGGTACACAAGCATTAATGTTAGCACTAGAAAAATTGAATAATATCAACAAACAAACACAGTCTTAGTATTGTTTTCATTTTTCTAATGATGTTTACAGTAAATATAAATATTTACAAACATATTACCCATCTTAAGAATAAAAGTTATTATGGCCGTAAATTTGTCATTTTAGTTCATTTTCTATTTTTGCTTTTTGCATGTGAACTTATATTGATTACATACATCTCTTTCGCTATTTTTTGTGTGATTATTATTCGTTCTAATTTGTTTCTTTAATGATCGTTTTTTATCGTTGATAGTCATGTTATAGAATGATGCAAGCGTATCAGTGTCATCGATTTGTTTTGTTTTTTCGTTTTTATTAAGTAAACCGCTTAATTTAAAGATGGCTGTCCTCTATCAATTTACTTACAAATGATTGAACACAGTCACTTAACATTTAATCTTTAAACAAGTTAATAGCTAATCGTAAAGGACTTTCATCAACGTGCAAGAATTTTCATTCCAGCTAAATGATAGAGAGATTGGGATTTTCTTGTTTTGCAGTAAATAACTATGGCTAGGAGTTGATAGAGCTCGATTTTCAAATTTCTCATTTACTGATTTCTGGTGCTTAATAGAACCTTAAAATCCGAAAAATCCTTAGAAGGTTTCTTAGAAACCCTCATTTCTATAAAAAATGAAAGCACCAGTTTAAAAATTTTCAAGTCCTAGCTATAAGTGTTATCTACAAATCAAAAAAAAAAGTTCTTTCTACGATGTATTGTTACCGAGAATTTCTGCATCTGAAGCTAAAAACAGTCTTGAGAGAAACGCAAAATAAATGTAATATTTATATTATAAAAAAAATAAGTGTTATAATTTATTATATAACGCAAAAAATATGCGTTTTACTTAAAAATTATTTCAGCGTTAAACAATTTGTTAATACTTTGCCATAGATTATCGATCATGACGGATCTAATGAACGTACGTGCATCTAATGTGCACGTACATGTACGCTTATGCAATGCAAGTACAAAAGGCTATCCAACCATGTGCTTTTCTCAAAATCGATATTTTTGACGAAAATCGACCTTTCGGACTCTCAAAACTCAAACTGACCTCAACTCAATTGATCCTGACGCGCACCATCCTCAAGACTGCCTTTCTGTAACTTTCCCCTGAACTGAGAATATATACGTCAAACGTCAGCAAAATAATTTCGGTGATTCGATCTTCAGTGGCGGTCACCCATTCATTTACTAATTGTCGTCCTGATAGTTAAATTTATTTCGTTCAAACAAGTCGAGTTTAAAATATCAAAATCCAGAAATTTTATTCTGTAATCAAGTCTCTATTGTTATTGTCGAATACCAATGGCGTAGACAGCAATGAATCTTTTCTTGTCTACGAATAATTGTAGAACCGTTTTTTGTTCGGAATACATTTTGTGTAGAATACACTACAATATATCCATATGGATTGTGCAACGAAAAATACTAAGTATACAACTAGAGTCTTACAGGTTAAACCTAACCTATAGGTTTAGAGTATGAAATTTTTTATAAGTTAGGTTGTTGCTGGCCATGCTTAACCGATTCATTTCTATATTCATGTAAACTGTGATTTATTTTGTATAAGCTTACCTTTCAGACGGTGTTTAGATAAAAAACAATAACGATATGAAACAAAGCTGAAGTTTAGGCTTCTGAAACCAGGTTTTGGGAAAAAATTGCAAAAGGTTGTATTAGGTTAACCTAGGTTAGGTTAGGTTCAGGTTACGAGTTTCGTATGTTAGGTTAGGTTTAGGTTGTGAGAATTTTTATAGGTTAGGTTATTGATTGTCAAAAAGTCGTAACCAGCAGGACTCTACCTTTATGGAGCTGTATATAATAGTGCGCCGGATGTTGAGTTCGACGAAGATTCATTCTGTTGTTTTTCAAACAATGAACTACGATTGTAAAACATAAAAAGAACAAACAAAACTGAACTCTTCCTTTTTGTGTACGGGCTAGAAATCGAAAGGAGGAAGCAATTTGATGAACAGTTAGAATTTACTCCTTTGCACACCTAAAAACGGTGAACTAGAATCAATGAGACGGTTTAGGTTCATCATCTTCTTCAAACTTTACGAGACAAATGGCAAAATATGAAAGAGTAAAAAGATGAAAAGATATGTACCGCTTCTCCTAAACCTTGTCGGAAGAGAAAGACAGTTGTTAGATCCGAGACTTTTAAACTACATTATTTATAGAACAGACCGAAAACGCGGCCGGTGTTCGAAACAAGACAGAGTAAAATACATGGTACTTTTTAGACCAACAAATTTTTATTCAGCTCCTCTAACTTTAAAAAATTAAGAACTTTGAAAAACTTTTGTATCTTCATTTTAGGTCGATGGAATTTCGATAAGGAAAGCTAATCGCTCAATATAATTGAAAACACGAGCTGAAACTTACTAGAAAATGTTAATTTCATTCACAAAATTTTTATGATCAATTTTTATGAACAAACAAGAAAAATAATAATTATAACATTTGATTTGTAGACAACGGACATTTATCTATAAAAAATAAGACAAAAAGACCTTTTGTATAAAATGACTGTAGAGAAGAAAAAAATCATTCGTACTTACATAAATAATGTCTCACTCTTGTGTTTTTGATAAATAAATTGAAATTACAAAAACGCTTTTTAATATCCAGTTCTAATCCTATAAGAAATAAATAACGTAAAACAACGGTTATAGAAATTATTAAAGAAATAAGAAAAATGGACAGTAATCCTGGAGCCATATTGCTAAAAACTTAAGTCGTTAATTTAAGTCATGACTTAAGCTGGTCGTCTTAAAATGTATTATAATTATCCAATAAATGCGGAAAAACGTACAGAACTTTCAAGTTTCATGTTTATACACATTAAAAGGTACATTAAATTCAAATTGCAACCATGATATTCATAGTGGATCAGATGATCCTGATTTCTCTAATAATGATGACAATAACGACAGTGATGAAAATGATGAAGCTGCTGGAAATAGAGAAACTGTTTACCAGATTGATGACGTGAATATTCAGTACACAAATGATTTTAGATCAATACCACCGCTACTTCCTCCTCCATTAGCACAAATATCTGGAACATACAGTATGGATGATTTCCAAAAACAGTTCGTTGCATTTCTTCTCGAGTTGAGAGAAGAGCATCTATTACCGTTAAACATCACAACATTATAAATGAATTTGTCCAGTTATTAGCTATTGTCAGTACGTTAATCTCACAAAAAGCGAACGACGAACAAACAGATAAAAATGATAATAGATTGAAATTTGATTCTATAAACGTAAAATTAGTATAGGAGGGTTTTGGCAAAAAAAATTTGAAATGAAACCTCAAATTTAAAAAGTGATTTTTAGTGAAAAAATAAGTTTGTTAGTTCTTGTAATTTATTTTGGTTTTTTTAATTTTTTATGAGTTTTAGCTAATTTTAAAGTTTAGCTTATTTATGGTATATTTGCTTTTCTTTATAAAAGGATTATTAGTTCTTTTTAGTCGTAGATATGATGAAGAAAATAAAATTTGATTTCTAATCAATAATTTAAGTTTTCTTTAAAATTAAGTTATTATAATTATTACTTAATAGAATTAATTTCAAGTGAATAATGTTTATATGATTTTGTTATTTTTGAGTTTAATAACTTCTAATGTTTTTTATGTATGGTTAATTAATGAGTTTATACTATTTTTGATGTTGTTATTTTTGGTTTTGAATGATAGTAAGTATTATAGTTTAATTATATATTTTTTTATTCAAGGAGTGTTTTCTTTTATTCTTCTTTTAACTGTTTACTGAAATTATTTTTCTTTTTCTTTTATTCTTATAATAGTTAAGCTTGGGTTGGCCCCTTTTCATTATTGGGTTGTTGTTATTACTGTTGAGATGACTTTTTTTATAAATTTTTATGTTTTAATTTTTCAAAAAGTTGTTAATTTTTGGCTTTTGTGGTTGTTGTATTTATTTAATTCTTTCTATATTTTTTTATTTGGTATTTTTAGTATTTTGGTTTCTTTTGTTGGTTTGCTTTTAATTTATGATTTGTGACTTTTAATAGTTTATTCATCAATTAGAAATACTGGTTTAATTTTGGTGAGTATATTTACTGTTAATTATTGGTCTTTGTTGTTATTATATATAATTATTATCTTTGTTTTAATTGGGTGTTTTTTTTTTACTAAAAATGATGACTATTTTTATTTAGTTATGGTATTATTTATAGTACTTTCTCTTTTTTTTTTGTTTTTGTATAAGTATATAGTGGTGGTTGGGTTATTTAGAGTTAAAATGGGTTTTTTTGTTATGTTTTTTGATGTTCTGTTGTTAGTTTATTATTTTAGGTTTATTTTTATTTATGGTCTTAGTTATTTCAGAAAGTCTTTGTTTTTGGTTTTATTATTTTTTATGTTTTTATCTTTGATTTTAAATAGTATTTATGTTTCGTTGACTTTATTCTACTAATCATAAGGATATTGGGACATTATATTTTATTATTGGTATTTGAGCTGGAATTTTAGATGCTAGATTGAGATTGGTTATTCGTACTGAGTTGGGTGTTATTGGAGGTTTGATTTTAGATGAACATTTATATAATGCTATGATTACTGCTCATGCTTTTTTAATGATTTTTTTTTAATTATGCCTGTTGCTGTAGGGGGATTTGGTAATTGATTGCTTCCATTAATATTGAATTCTTTAGATATGGCTTTTCCTCGTTTAAATAATTTAAGGTTTTGATTGGTTCCTGTGGCTTTGATATTTATGATTATAAGTTTGTTGTTTAGGTTAGGGGCTGGTATTGGTTGAACTGTTTATCCTCCTTTGTCTAATTCAGTTTATCATTTTGGTAGATCAGTTGATATGGCTATTTTTAGTTTACATATTGCGGGTGTTTCTTCTATTTTAGGTGGTATTAATTTTATTACTACTTGTTTTAAGAGTAAGGTTAGGTTTTTTATTAGTTTTGAGCACATGAATCTTTTTACTTGAGCTATGGTAGTTTCTAGGTTTTTATTGGTTCTTAGTCTT